CCTTCCTTTTCCACATACTCACTTATGTCTATACATTTCTAAGTACTGATATTGCTTTATGCTACACATTTTGATATGGTACTTTCTTTCTTTTTCTTTTTTTTTTTTTTTTTTTTTTGAGACGGGGTTTCACTCTATCACCCAGGCTGGAGTGCAGTGGCACGGTCTCAGCTCACTGCAACCTCCACCTCCTGGGCTCGAGTGATTCTCCCACCTCAGCCTCCTGCGTAGCTGGGACTACAGGCATATGCCACCACGCCTGGCTAGTGTGTGTGTGTGTGTGTGTGTGTGTGTGTGTGTGTATATATATATTTTTTTTTTTTTCCAGTAGAGATGGGGTTTTACCATGTTGTCCAGGCTAGTCTCGAACTCCTGGACTCAAGTGATCTGCCTGCCTCAGCCTCTCAAAGTTTTGTGTGAGCCGCCACGCCTGGACTGTGGTACTTTCTTAATAGTGGGAAACATTTCTAATCTCCATTATGATTTCTTCATTGACACGTGTGTTATTTTAGCAGCATAATTCTCATTTTTGAATATAAGAATTTCTGGTTATTATTTAATTCTAGTTTAAAAGGTTAAGGTATTGTCAGAGAACATACCCTATACAATTTCAATATTTTATTTAAACTTACCATAGGGCTTAATATATGGTCAATTTTCATAAATGTCCTGTGTATGCTTGAAAAGAATGTATACTAAGTAGTCCTATGGCACAGTTTTTGTTTGAGATGGAGTTTCACTCTTTACGCAGGCTGCAGTGCTGTGGCATGATCTCAGCTCGCTGCAACCTCTGCCTCCTGGGTTCAAGCGATTCTCGTCTCAGCCTCCCAAGTAGCTGGGATTACAGGTGCATGCTACCATGCCCGGCTAATTTTTGTATTTTTTGTAGAGATGGGGTTTCACCATGTTGGCCAGGCTGGTCTCGAACTCCTGGCCTCAAGTGATCCATCTGCCCCAGCCTCCCAAAGTGCTGGGATTACAGGTGTGAGCCACCGCGCCTGGCCCCATGGTGTACTATTCTATATGGGCATCAATCAGGCCAGTTTTGTTAAGGAGCCCTTTCAAATCTTCTACATCACTCCCGATTTGTTCTATCAATTTCTGAGAAAGATATGCTAAAACCTCCCAAATTTGTGTTTCTCTTCTTAGTTCTTTACATTTTGAGGCCAGCAGAGGAAAAAATGGAACGATTTTTTTTAACCCACAACAGTGTTGATACAAAATAAGGCAGGGAAGAGAAAGCCCCAGAAGAGGTGGGACAAACAAAAAGCACAAAGAAAGAAAGTCTGTGAAAGCCTAAATAAGTCAGTCAGTCCATTACATTTAAATGGATTAAGGGCTCCCAGTGAAGAGCAAAACCTGTCAAGATGGTTTATGAGATAAAATCTGTACGTTGTATATGGGAGCCACATCCAAAACACAAACCCACACAAAGGTTAACAGCATGCCTGGTGCTCTTGACCAAGCACCTTCGTGGGGAGCGGTGAATCGTGGTTCTTGCACCCTGCAGGTCAGCCTCCCTTCCATCAGGACCCCTGGGAGTGGCCAGGAAATAATAGGGGCACGAGGAGCCCTTTCATTCGTATTTTGAAGCAGAACCTTCACATGTTCCTGCCTGCTGGGGAACTCTGACTGGCAGACTGGGAAGGTTGCACCTAGGTCAGCCAGGACCCATTCGGCTCACTCAGGATGGAATGAGCAGCCTGGAGCCTTCTCTGCCCCCACCCCAGACCCTGGAGCTCCTCTGAATTCAAAAAGTTCCTTCCGTTTCTCCCATCAAAGTGACCACATCTCCTCTTCCAAGTCACACTGTACAGTTCCTACAGGAGATGGGCACAGTACCAAAGACCTCAACGGCATCTAGATTTTTTCCACTAGATCACTGATGCTAGAAGGCATTTCAGTGACCATGGACAGGTCCTGGAGACCTAGACCTAGGCACCTGCTTCTGCAGGAGGAACACAGCTGCAGACCATGGAACTTCTTACCACTGATTACTTAGAATTCACATTCTTAAAACAATTTTAAACTTATATGGTCCAGCTGGGTCCGGACCACTTCGACCAGGCTCAGTCCTGAATACCCTCGTCTGTCTCAGCAGGCAAAGGCCGGGAGGGGGCATCTGTGCCCAGGGTGAAGATGTGCCAAGTGCTGGTGGCACTGGTGTGGGCTCATGCTCTCTTCCCAGCTCTGCTGGTTGAAGGCTGCGACAGTCACTTACAGCTACCATGCTCATTTGTTCATTTGTGCCTGTCAACTAGGGTTTGTGTGTTGGCTGTTTCTGAAGCCAGCAAAGCAAAACCACCTTAATGTGCCACATGGAAGTGTAAGGTGGCCCCCCTCCCATTGAGCCAAGAGCCCAGTGACCCCTGCTTAGAAGGGAAAGGATAATGGGAGGACAGGGAGGCAGGACGGGACTGGGCCAGCTGCAGCAGGGGTGGGCAAGAGTCCTCTCCTCACAGTCAGAGTCAGGGAAGGGGCGGTTTCGCTTCTCAACCCTCCTCTGAAACTGTGTCCCACCCCTTGCTGTGGCTCTGAAATGTGCCCGGCACTGCTCCCTGCTTATTACCACAAGGAGAGCTCCTCAGGCTGGAGCAGCCTAGAGCCTTTCTCTTCCTAATTCTGTGCAAGCATTGCTGTGAGTGATGAGCCTCCGCATTTCAATAAACATCCTACTTGCATGATCTTAGGATCTGTTTCCAGTCACTTCGGGGTTCACTCTAGTCCAGAAAGCATCTTCGCATCCCCTCTGACAGGTGTCCTTGCCCTGCTGCTTTCACAGGGCGGCAAAGAGCAAGGGCTTCAGCTCCCAAGCCCCTTGCTCAGCTGCGGGTCACTTAGGCTCCGCGTGTGTCCCCAGTGACCCTGACTTTAGGGACATACTGGGTGCTGCAGCCACAAGGCACTGCTCCTATAGTCATGGTGGGCAGCCAGCATTGCCCCAGGCCATAGTGCTGGTGTCCCAGGCTCCTCAGGGACCTGAGGACAGGGCCAAGTGTGCCAGCCCACACCAGGCTGACCCTGCCAGGCAACAGGTATACACACAGGTCCTGAAACCACCTCAGGTCAAATAAGGGATTTGGGGGCACACAGGTTGCATTTTGCCTCTTGGGAAGATGACGCGAGGGAATGACAGGCAGGCCAGTTCCAACGCACTGCCAAGCGCCAGCTGAGCGGGCTGGGAGCAGGCACACTCCGATAACCAGGACACAGGTGGGCTAGCGACGCCTGGTCATGCCTTTTCCCAACACAAACCCAAGAAGCTCCTTCGGTGTGTTACAGGCTGAACCGTGCCCCTCCCCAAAAGTGTACGGTACAAGCCTAACCTCCAGTACCTCCGAATGTGACCTCACTTGGAGAGGGGGTATTTAGAGAGGTCATCAGGTTAACATGGACTCATTAGGGTGAGTCATAATTCCATACAACTGCCGCCCTGATGTGAAGGGGAAATTTGGAGACAGCTGTGTAGAAAACACCATCTGAACAGGAAGACAGCCATCTCCAGGCCAAGGGGAGAGGCCCGGGACAGATCCTCCCTCCCAGCCCGAAGAAGGAACCGACCCTGACACCTGGACTGTAGACTTCTGGCCTCCAGGACGGAGACAGTAAATGCTGCTGTTGAAGCTGCCCAGTCAGGGGTCCTCTGTGCGGCAGCCCCGGGGGACTCACAGAGTGTGCCCTGGGAGTCCTATGAGTCCTGTGGGAATTCCCCCACCCTTCCTGGCACACTCTTGAATGTTCTCCAGAATGTCGGGAGACGAGGCAGCATGCTGGTGGCACAACCAGCCCCGCCCCACCGTGGGCCCGCATGGAGCTCCCTTCTACAGGGGTCAGGTCAAGGCCTTCCTTAGCAACTCACTTCTTTAATTTCAGAATCCACAGAGGTAAGTCCAGCTTAGACCAAGCGGCCGAGTTCTCTTCAAATGAAATCTGTGCCAGTATTTACTCCAGGAAGGCAAGAGCCCAGCCCTTCATGACTCCTGAGATCAGGAATGGCTGGTGGTTAGGAGGCGCTCTCCTGGCCACTCTAGCTGTGTGGGGCACTCCCTGCATATGTGGGGCACACATGGCCTGTGCACACCACCCACCTACAAGCTTGGGCGGCTCCAGTGGGAAAGACAGGAGAGGGAAGCAACATTTGATTGAATCTGAGCCAAGAGGGCCAGAGGCTGAGGAAGGCACCCCCACAGCAGCCTCCTGAGCAAACAGCACCTGGGGACTCTGCCCAGTTGGGACAAAGGGTGAGGCTCCCAGCAACAGTTAAGAGAGATGGCATCCCCTGGGAGAGGGAGGCCTGGGGTTGGGTGACAGGGCTTCCATGCCACCACTGCACCCTTGGCAAGAATGAGCAGATGTGGAGAAGAGGAATGCCATCAATGTGCCCCCCACCTTGGGTCCCTGTGCTCCCCACCCCACAGTTCTTCCTGGAGTGCCCTCTGCACTCCTCCCAGCAGGCTGCTCGGCTCCTTAGGCCGGTCTGGGATCCCTGCTGGTGCCACTCCCGAGGTCAGCACGTCTGCATCTGCACTGGCTGCAGGAGGAGAGGCTCCCTGCAGAGGTAAGGCAGCAGGCACTAAAGGGGGAAGGGGGCTCTGGTGGCCCCCGGTATGTCCGAGGAGGGGGTGCGCAGGCGGCGCAGCGTGGCAGCTGGGTGCGGAGGACAGCAGCTGCTGGGAAGAGCTGCAGTGGAGCCCAGGAGGTTCTGCTGGGGGAGCGTCTGGAGGCAGCGGAGGTGCCCGGCGAGCGGTCCCTCTGGAGAGTCCTGGCGGGTCACCCGCCCTGCAGCCCTCTCCCTGGCCACGCAGGATCTTTGGTTTAGGCCTTGTGGGTCCCTTCTGCCTCCAGTAGGGCAGGTGTCTGTGACCAGAGCCATGAGCCCAACGAGGTCCCCGTGGGAGGGTCCACATCCAGGAAGCTTGGCCCATTGGCCCAGGGCCTTGGGGACGCCTCCCCAGCCGATTCACCTGGGTCCTCATGGTGGCCACCTCCTGAGCCAGGCCTGCCAGCGCCGTGGCGAGGCGATCCAGCTTCTCTGCGAGGGCAGCACCGAGGCTGTGCAGCTCCTGTTGCAGGGGCTTCCCACAGTGGCACGGCGGCTGCGGGGAGGTGGCCGGCAATACTGGAGGCGCGGCTTCCTGAGGGGGCAGCTCCGGAGGTGGAGACTCACGGGGTGGCTCAGGTGGGACCTGGGGGAGCAGCCTCCCATGGGTCTTGGCTAAAACCAGAGCAAGGACCGGTCAGAGTTCTTGGTTTGTAAGGAACTCTCTCTCCCCAGAGGTCCCCTGAACCAAGGGCGCTCAGTACCCTGCCTCCTCCAAGGCCCGGCTTCCAGAAGGGAAGGAAGGTGAGTCAGGCCTGAAAACGCTGATGCCAATGGTTATGGCATGAAAACTGGCTACATCTCCTGGCTGTTCCCCAAACTGATGGGCAGGATCAACCACAGGTTGGGTTTGGGTTTCCATGGTAACCAGGCTTTCCTAAACTTCGGTCTTCCCACCTTCTAGGAATGGGTGGGTCTTTGTGTTGTTAATGAGACCAAATGGCAGCCCTGCCCTAGGAGTCAGTGAGAAGGGCCCAGAGCCCCTGGACAGCATGAGACCAAGGCCATGGGAGCATCAGGAGATGGGCCAAGAGGGCCAGGCCAGCCAAGGGCCTTCTGCGCATTTTTTGTGGGGTGACTGTGGGGCCACTCCAGAACTCAGTGCTCTTGGTTACAGGCAAACCACAAGGGTTCCCACCCACTTCTGCCTTTACTCTCCCCATTCAGAAGTTACAGATTCACAGGAGTCATAAGCTTTTTTTTTTTTTTTAAAAAAAAAAAAGATCACCTAATCCTTCACCCTAAATTCCCTTGGAACTGGTCCCAACCCTGGGCAAACCACAAGAAGGGCTTGGCCAGGCACTTGCCGTTCCGAACCTGTCCAGCCCCAGGCTGGGTGCAGAGATGGTTTCTTCCCTGTTTCTCTGGGCCCCCAGCTGTGGCTCTGCCCTTCTCTTTTCGGCACCTCCAAGGCTTTAAACCGAGGAAAAAGTGAAGACTGGAGTAGCTAAAGGACCCAGCCGCTGTTTGGTCAAGTTCATCAACAAGGATCTCGGCCTGGAGACCCCGGCCAGGACTTCTACAGAGGACAGGCAAGGCTCGGTGGCCCCAGGCAGCTCAGAGCTCTCAGCAAAGCGGTGGCGCCTGGACAGAAGCCAACACCCTGAGCCAATAAGAGAACCTGCCGCAGGCCGCACTGAAAGTTCCTGGTGTGGGGTTGTCCCCAAGTGACCCAGGGCACTAGATGCCAGGCCCCCTGCATGTTTCCACCATGGGTCTGCAGGGGCAGGCGTGTGACACGGAGCCAACCCTCTCACAATGACCGTGGCTAGGTCATCCTGGCCTCAGTTTCCTCACCTATTCTCTAAAGTCCCCTCAAGCCCCAAACTGATTCTTCACTTCTCAATTTCTACCTCTAAAGGGTGTGTCTGCTTTTATGAAAATCCCAACTGGTTCTGTAATAAAACACTGAAATGAAATATGCAACCTGAAGTGGCTTACAGGTGAGACTTTTCCTACCCATCACCCAAATGGTGACCCTGGACGGCTGTTTTCCCCAAGCGGGGGCTCTGGGTCCTGGCCTGTGCAGAGGGAATGGGGGAAGCCACCAGTTCACCTGCAACTCTGGGTCTTCCATGTCCAAGCTCCGGGCCTCTGGACGCTTCACTAACCCTGGGCCTTTTCTCCAGCCGAGAAACAGGGCAGGGATCCCCAGCTGTACCTGTAGAAAAAGCACAGAGACCCTGGGGCAGGGAGACGATCGTTTGGCCAGAGCCATTCTGACATACCCTAAAACAATCTCAAACTCTCAACTTTCAAACCATGACTAAATGAGATAGAAGATGGACACTTGGCCCACGAGGGAGGCTAATTCTGGTGGAAGGGCCCGCTGTGGTGCGTGTGTGTGGTGTTCCTGCCCGGTCTGCAGGGGGCTCCAGCAGGAGCTGGTGGCTGGAGAGGCAGCTGGGAAAAAGGATTCTCATCTGTGGGTCGTGCCCCAGTGAGACCTCCGAGGGCGTGCTGGGGCATCCTGTGGTCCATACCCAGCCCACTCTGCCATTTTCCGCTAGGCCCACTGGGGAGTGAGAAATGTGGTACGGCCCGGGCCTACACAGACAGGGCCAGGGCTGTAAATGGAGCCAGCAGCAGGAGCTGGGGAGAGCTCCCTCCACTGACCATTTCTGGCCTCTTCCTCCTTCTCCCCATCCTCTACACTGCCTCTCCCTCCTCCTCCTCCTCCTCCTCCTCCAGCACTCCTGAGGGGGCCAGGCCAGCAAGTACTATCTAAACTCTCTTTTCTCCCAGGCAACTGGGACCTGTCTCCTGTCCCATCTGCTTTTCCCGCTGGGAGCAAACACTGGCTCACAGTGAGATTGAGAAGCAAGGTGACCTGGGGCAGCAGGCAGCATTTCTAGCTTTCCTAATGGGACACTCTCCAAGAAGTCCCCCCAGCTGGGGAAATCTCACTTTTGAGACTTTTGTTATTGATGCCAAGTTTTAAAAGCATACACTATTATCGTATAAATACATCCGTATCTGTCTCCATGCACGCGTGTATATTCGCAAGTGCAAACACTGTGTACATGGCTTCAAGTGGGTGGCCCAGACCTCCCTGCAGCTGCTCACCAGCACCCCCAGTAGCCCCGCCCTCCCTCTCGGACACAGCTCACCTTACAGGGAACTAAAGCACGGCCAATGTGCAGGACTCCCTGGCAAGGGCCAGGCAAAGTGACAGGCAGGACTCAGAGGATCCAGTCTGGACTCCTGGCCCTCTGGGGGACGCATGGGCGCCCCCTCAGGAGACCCCAGGCTCACCTGCACCAAGGCCGCTGCAGTACCTGGGCTCTGTTCTCCTGGGGTCTTCACCAGGGCTGCTGCCACTGCTTCCAGCAGGGGTCCCACCAGGACATGGGGACAGAGGGACAGGAGGCTTACAGCTGGGAAGGCGGTCCCTCTCTTAATGTCACAAACAAAGCTGGCATCAGAGTGGTGACTGGAGCTCTAGCACACACCCCGCTATCCTCCCTTTCCGAAGAGGCTCACCCTGGAGGAGCGGCCTCCAGAGCTCGGGCTCTGGCCTCGGGTCTTCTCCTTCAGAGCCGCTGAAGCTCGAGCTGGAGCCGGGGCTGGGGCTGGGGCCTGCCACGCAGGTGAAGCGCAAGGGCCGTACAGGCAAGATCCCCCTCAGGGCGCTCTCCAGGCAGTGCAGCGGGGAGGGCTTGGGGGCAGGCCCTGAGCAGGGGACCAGAGAGTGCTCTGTCATCAGCCTGAAGAGAGCCAGGCCTGTGCCTCAGGGTATGGGCACACAGAACTGGTCCCCTTTCAGCTCAGCCCACACTCAACATGAGTTCTAGGGGACCCTAAATGGCTGCCTCTCTTGCCACAGAAAGAGGACAAAAGTGAAGCCAGAGCCTGGCCAGGACGCCAGCAGCTTTGGAAAGTCTGCTGGGGAACTTTCTGGAAATCTCCAGTCCTTGGAAGTCATTAGCAGTCTGGTTCTAGCCAGGCTTAGGTCTCACAGGCCAGGTGGCCTCTCCTACCAGGTAGGTACCATCCCTGCACCCCGGTATCTCATAAGGGCCAGCAGCCCAATGGTGGGGCTCAGTTAGGGCCCATCCTCGTCTGATGGGAGAGTCAGCAAAACCGCATTTATTCAGCAAAGGTATCCCACCAGGCCCTGTGGCAGATCGAGGAAGGAATTCTGCTGGAAGTTAAACCAAGCAGCAGCAGTAGACAGCGGGAGCCCCCCAAGAAGCTTCTCCACAGGAGAAACCCAATGGATGGACACAAACAACGATCTTCCCGACCCCGCTCCTTGTCAGCACTTTGTGACACTTTATCTTCTTGTTTAGTGAACCTCAGTTGCTGTTTGGCACCAGCTTCTGTCCTCTGGGCAAAGGATGAGAGATGGGGAAGGAACAGAGGGACAGAGAGGGCAAGTCTATTTCTTTGTCAAACACTTTAACTAAAGCATGGTTGTCAGTACCGAGGGCAGGTGCCAGCTCACCCTCTGGGAGCCACCTCCACACTCCTGGCCTGGTGGCCCCAGGGTCTTTGAGCCCCCGCTGGTGGCAGGCGGGGACGCAGCTGGAGGTGAACACCTGTGGGCTGACCAGACGGAGGCTCCGGGTGGGCACTTCTCCCCTACCGTGCCCAAGACGGGCTGACTCCCAGGCCTCGGCCCTCAGTCCTGTTTTAATGAGAAAACAGGCGGCCTGTCAGCCCCACGGGGCCTCGTGCTGCCACAGAAGGGACAGGGAACAGTCTCTGCCATTGCTGGGCTCTCGGGCACACCAGCGTCAGGTGTGGGAAACACCCATCTGCCATGTTCCGGGGAGCGCCCGAACCCTCCAGAACCTCTCTATTCCCAGACCCAGCTGCGTGGAACCCTGGGCTCAGAAACTGGTGCCCAGACACCAAGGCACATGGGCCCGGCACGGCCGGGACAAGGACACCTGGCCACAAGGAGCCAGCTCCAGCCAGGGCAGTGGAGCCACAGACAACGGCACTAAGGTGTCCCCGTCACTCAGATGCCAGCAGGTCTGCACGTGTGTGCTGAACAGACTTTCCGGCCTCCAACAAGGCTCAGCCCAGGCCTATTTCCAGAGCACCATGTTGGCTCAGAAGCAGATATGAGCCCACAGGTGCAGTGCCCAGGGCATCCTCGGAGCAGCCCTGTCTACACCCTGGCCCCCGGCAGCCGCTATTACCTTCCTTGTCTGCTGTCCAGTTCCTGGGCTCCACTCTCCTCGGTCCCCTGTCTGCTGCTGAGGAGCAGGGCCAGGCAGGCCGCAGCACAGGCACAGGTATCTCCTTGAGACAGTTCTCCAGACCCTGCAGTGGGGAGCTTCCTGGCGGGCTTCCTGTGAAGATCAAACATTCACAGATGACGGGGGCTGTAGCTCTATCTCTGCAAACCGCAGAAGTCTCCCCTCCTCTGCTGTGTCCAGGGAAGCAGGGTCACAGGGGTGCTGGGCACAGAGCACTGGACGTGTCAGTCCTGGCTCTGCGGCGGCCCTGCTTTGGCTGCCGTGGAAGCAGCCTGGCCTGTGGCTGTCAAGATGGCATTGTCCACAGGTGTGGGTTCCAGTCCTCCTCAGCACACCCAGCTGCCACTACTGTGAGGGACGACATCCTGTGTCCCCAGCACAGGGGATCAGGGGTGGCCCCACAGATGGAATGTGCTAAGACTTCCTTCACCACTCACAGAGGGGAACAACACAGGCCCCCTCGCCTCTGGGCCATGGCAGGCCCACATGCATGCAGCTTCAACTAGGAAAGAACTAAATACACTGTAAGCATCCTATTTCCAGTGACAGCCGTGTGAGTAACAGGAACTAGATGAACTGAAACTCTAGAGCGAGGAGAGCCCTTCCTAATAAAGCGGACAGTGCTGCCACTGTCTTTCCTAAAAGCGTTTGCTGATGATCCTGGGCCGAGGCACAGAGCGGGAGGGCAACCCGCAGCGCTTCTGAATGTCCACGGGCTGGAAGGGCAGGGGGGAAACCAGAGGACCTCCACGTGCATTTTCTCCACAGCACATCCGCTGAGTTCTGGGGCAACAGAGGGAGCCGGGAGTTGTCTGGAAGCTTCTGAAAGGCAGTGTGAAATATCCTGCAGTTTGGGTTACTTAGTAAACAAAGTCCACCCAGGCAGGACACATGAAGCATGCTACCGAATACCACGCTGCTGTCCCAAAGAAGAAACTGGTGCTGGTGGCCAAGGAATATGAAAAGTATAGAAATGAGTCAAAGACAAATGCTGATGACAAAGGCAGCCTAGAGGGGGCATGTACAGATGCCGCCCTCTGTGTGAGGAAGAGGAGGGGAATGAACTCGCAGCAGTGGCAGGAGGGGCTGCAGCGCCGAAGACTTCATTTTTCCCACATAACCTTTTATAGCTTTTGAACAAAGCTATGTGATCATATTACCTATGAAGTCAGTTGCATTTTGGGGGAAAAGCCCCACACCCAAGGGGCTAACCCCTAGTGGGGCTTGGGAATTCAGGCTGCTGTGGACACTGGCAGGCCCCACAGGCCTGACCAGAGCTGTGGCTGCTGCGAGAGGCCTGTTCAGTAAATATGTTGGCAGTCAGGACAGAGGTGAGGACAGAGGGACTGGTGTCAGCAGGAAACACAGACCAAGAGGACTCGGATTAACCGGGTGGGGGAAAAAAAATGGCCAAGAGGAGATGCTGGAGTCCTGCAAGATCCTCAAGTCTGCAGCAAACTCGACTGGAGTGACCGGGGCAGGCACAGGTCACCAAGCATACTCCCAAGTGTTTCTGACACGAACCTCACTGTATGTTTTCCTAAGCTGGGCGTCAGTTTGATATTACAGGCAATTCTTTGTGGCTAGGGTAAGGAATTCAATGCAAAAAGGAAATTTTTATTTATATTTATTTATTTATTTTTGAGATGGAGGTCTCACTCTGTCCCCCGCGCTGGATTGCAGTGGTGTGATCATAGCTCACTGCAGCCTCAAATGCTGGGG